CCTTTCGTCCAGTCAGATGTTTTCCCCTAATTTCTGAGACTGCACTATTTTCGTGAATGGGTGATGACGGGATTGCATGTCGTGTTCAGGATTTCTCCTGATGTTAGTAAATCTGTGAGCTACCAAAACTTTACTTTTCCCCTCACATGTTGAACATTCTTTTCAAGATTTTGCTTAAAAAAAGATCTTTTTGCTTTTAATGTTCATACTGTTTTTTTATTAGTGTTACACTCTTGTGGTGTTTACTTCTATCTGCATAAATCTATTGCTTTAGCGAGTAATTTTTGGCTTTTATGGTGTGAACACCCATGGTTCTTTTTACCCTTCACGCTTTAACAAAAAAAACCAGATTTGACATTTAGATCCACCCTTATCTGTACATAACTCTCAATGGAAGCCCAACAAAAAATTTAAATGCAAGAGGGATTAGGATGGTAATGGAACGGGACACGACTCGGGCAGTCGGGCAGCCATCTCTATCCTGTCCGTCTTGTCTGGGATTTTTGGGCGGTGAGACAAGGATTAAAATATTCTCATCCATCGATGTTTAATTATTTATTACACTTTTAGTGCTTGTTTGAGCTCATTTTTATTCTAAGAATGCATTTTTGAAATAATAGATTGATAGAGAATGTATAGTCAAAAAATAAAGAAAAATTTTGAATTTGCTTGTAATATAATTTTATTGAAAAATGATTGACTGAAAAGAAGAGAGAAAAATGTATTTTAGAAATAATGGGGATCAAACGAGGGTTTAAATGTTTAATATTGAGGAAATTACACAAAATCGAATTTTTAAAGATTCAATTTCAAAAATCAGACATTTTATTTTAAATATTAAATATTAATTGTACAATTTTCATTCCAAACCTTAATCAATTTCATTTTAATTTTCCTCATCCCCCTCTCTTCTCACTATCTCTACCTTCTCTCATCTTCATCACTTTCTCTTCTCCACTCTCCGATCTCCTCGCTCTTCGTCGGCAATCAGCCTCCACGCAGCAGCCCATTGTCGAGTCCAAATAGCCCATTCTCAAATTACAGCAGCCCAGATTGTCGGAAGCTCTGCAGATCTGGGGTAAGGCCATTCCTTCACTGTGAATGCCACTGAAGGCTCTACAGATTGCGGTTGCAACAACGTAGATCGCAGTGGTGATGGCACAGATCGTGGCTGCAACGACGCGATCGCAGTAACGATGGTTTTTTATTTTTTTTAATTGTTGGATGGGTGACAGTAGTTTCCATGTTTTGGTGACTTTGGGGTGATGTGGTGGTGGTGGTGGCACTACTGGTGGTTATGGTGAGGTATTGACGATGATGATGACACTGGAGGCGACGGTTCATGTGGTGGTGGCGTTGGTGGAGGTAGTCAGATTTTGTTGCTTGCGATTTGGTGTTTGAGCGGTGATTTTATTGATTTTTGGGCGGCAATTTTGTTGAATTTTGGGAGGTGATATGGTGTTTGGGCGACAGTGTTGGATCTTGTTGGTGCGATGGTGGCGAAGGTTTTGTTGGTGGTTGTGGTGACGAGGTGGTGGTGTCAGTGGATTTGAAGTTGAAAATTTGTTAGAGGTGGTCGGCGACGATGATGGTAGGGGATTTTTATTGGTTGTAGGATGGGGGTGGAGGTGGTGGTGGTTCGACGACGGGGTTTCGGTTACCATGCTGTTGGTGGTGGTCCGACGACGAGGTAGTCACAAGCGTTGGTTTGGGGTGTAAAAACAGGCGGGCCAGGGCAGACGTAGAAACCCAGGTATAGCTCGGGTATTAATATACCCAGCCCGTGCGGGCTTTTCGGGCCGGTACAACCCGGACCGAGGTGGGCAAGGGCTGTTCCGAGTCGGACCGCAAGCCCGCATGGGCCAGGTGGCCCGTCGCCTACTAGGTGCCGATTTTTTTTTTTCAAAAATAAA